TATCTAAAATTAAAAAAATGGTATTTTAAACACACTTTATCAATTTTCATACGCATTTACTAAATTTAAAACAGTCGTTTTCAGTCATGGATTGTTCGTGAACCCATGTCGCGAAGCAATAGAAAAGATGGGAGATTCGTTGCAATTAAATAGAGAGAGAGAGAGAAAATATGGAGGGAGGAGGAGGTAAGTTTATTTACAGAAAGGCAGATGGTCGGCCTGGAAAAGATGCAAGTCATGAATTAACTCCACAGCAGCGTGTAATGCCTTTTTCTTCCTGGCAAAGAATGCATGGTCAAACCAAAGTTCTTAACCAAATAGATCTCAACGGTTTTTCAATAAGGTGTGGGATCTGCACCAACATATTCAGCCTGTTTCTATAGCTATATGTTTTCTATGCAAACCTGCAAGCCTCTAGAAGTACGCTCGCGCGCGCCTATGTCGTCGGAAACTGCAACAGGAGCTTTACAGCCATGTCATGCAGAGGAAGAAACACAGGTGAGCTCCGCCGCGATGCGAAAATGTTGTGCGGAGAAACATGCCAAAACTCCGAAATCAGGAGGGGGCGTCCTCTCACTATATACAGAGGTTCTAACGGGACACAGCGCGTATCCCCCCCCCCCCCCCGCCCTTTGAAAAAAGTTTTTTTCTTCTTCAGTCTATGTTACGCGGACTACCGGAAACAATTCAAGGCAAGAAAAAGAGGCACAGTATGCAAAGTAATATCTCAAATGGTTGCACAAGAGCAAGGACATCGCGCGGAAAATTTCATTTTCAGAGGGTAAATGCTTGTCAGGGAACGGGAACATAAACCTGAAAAAAAAATGACTAAAATTTCCACGATGAATGTAAGCTTTGTCTTTCAGTGCTGTGAATACTCACATGATTACTACCCTCCGACTACTCCCCCCCCCCCAAAAAAAAACAAAACAAAAAACACCATTGCATAACTTTTGCTCTACTACTTGGCAATAAATAAATAAATAAATAAATAAATAAATAAATAAATAACCGCCGCCTTCGTTGCCCCCGTTCGCGCGCTTTTACAGCGGTATAAAACACACAACGCGCGGCGGGATTTTATCGATCTGGACTTTATACAAAGCCTCATGGCGACTCCGATGACGAACACCCATTGAGAGTGTTCATATAATTGCTATGGCAATAAAATTAATCTCAAAAGTTTCGGTTGTTACACCTAAGCAGCTGCGTGCCGTTTTCTTTGTTCGCACACCAGCAGGTAATGTTCGATTTTGTGGCGCACTCTTTTAAAGAGGCCCTGAAACACTTTTTCAAGTAACCATGGAATGAATTCACTGAAAGATCTTATTGCCTTCTGAATTCAACGACGCAAAAATTTTAAGAATCGGTCCAGTGCGAGTGGAGTTACAAAGATTTGTCGCATGCTGCAATTGCATTATCTCTTCTCTCGTCCCGACGAAAGCGCTGGAAGCTAAGCAGGGAGGAATGGCAGAGGCAAGGAAACTACGCCACCCTCGCCTCGTGACCTTGAGCGCTTTTCTCTTTTTTTTTTCTTCGAATGCGCGTCTTTCTCAGTGTGATCGCGTGCGCACGCGTGGACAAGTCGCGGCCTCCCGCGGCGATCTCTGTAACGACCGAGCGCGCCATGTCCATATCAGCCAACCTCTGATAGATGGGCTTGCTCCGTGTGATTTTTGAGCGTCTTCTTTCGTTTGTCGATAGAAGAGAAAGCAATCTTCAGCCGAATTTGATAATTTATTGTGAATTCCAGGCCATGTGCTGCGCTATCACATTTGGTTCTCGTGTTGTCGGGAGCCCATGCTACCAATCGGCAGCGTTTTCTGACCATACTCAAAAGTATTGCAAGGGCCCCTTTAAAATACGGCTAAATGACACTTTGAGTGACAAAAGTGCGAGTTTTCAATGGCACTGAGCAGTTTGCTGTTGTAAAATTACTAGCTTCAGAAGTGATCCCCACGAATTCAGAGGCAGGTAGCAAAGAGGCTCAATATAATACCAAAAATATAACTTAAAAAGTGACAAGGCAGTTTTTTTTTTCATGGCAAGGCTCGAGAAGTTATGCATGACATCCTTCCTTCCTGATGCCTTGATACCTGGTCCTATGACGGTTGGAACACAGTGGATGTGACAACTCAAATGGAGCTAAAGAATAGATAAAAATAGAAGCGGCCTAACACGTGATCGTTACGTCAGAGGTCATGTACAGAGCAGTCCAACATTTGTAGACCGTATTCAGAGGCATAGATTATGGGGAGAGGCAGGGGGTCCTTACCCTTTTGTGTTCAACCTAGGGAGGGAGGGGGAGGGGGCGTTTGTCCCCCTCATTTGAGGGCATGTTAAAGAACCCCAGGTGGTCAAAATTTCCGGAGCCCTCCACTACGGCGTCTCTCATAATCATATGGTGGTTTTGAGACGTTCAACCCCACGTATTTATCAATCAACCCTTTGTCTCCTTTGAGCTTTACCTCTCTAACATCCTATTTCAAATCTACAGTTAAGGCTATGGCACACTCGCCTTGAAATCAACTGCAAAATCGGCAGCCCTTGGGTAGAAACGAAGTACAAGAGTGAAAACTATTATTGGTTTCAAAGAGCACTGTGGACGTCTTGCTTTCTGTAATGCTACGGGAGATTTCTAATGTGCAGCAGATGTTTATTATGCACGCATTTTGAAGCGCAAGCTTAAGAATCCCCGATAGCCTGCCGTTATTTATTTATGTCGGCGATTTAGTGGAAGGCGCTGACAATGAAGCATGGATTCGATTGCTCCAGTATAATTATGTCATTAAAATCACTGGCGAATATAAACACGCCTTACAAGAAAGATTCCATGCTAAATCTTGGGAGGCAAACAGTATGCACGTTTGGAGCGGATCTTCCACGCGTAAATGCAAACATTAAAAAAAAATGGCAGCATATCCACGGAGTGAATGATGGGGAGTGGGGCGAAGCATTCGTCCGTCCATTAGTTCTTGCTTCCGTCCGTTCCTACGCACGTCTGTGTAACCGTCCATGCGTCCATCCACCCGTCCGTGTGTGCGTCTGTTCGTGCGTCCAATCCCTGCGTTCGTCCATGCATCCGCGCCTGCGTCCGTTCATGCGTCCATCCATGCATCTGTCTGTGTGTCCGTTCGTCCATCTATTCAGCACTCCAAGTACCACCATCTCGCATCTTTCATCATATATTCTCCATATAGAAGCACCGCCATCCAGCGGACATTTCAAGGACTAAATGGGAGGTGGCACATGCACACTTTCTTACGGCTTGCGCTTCGGGTTTACTTCCCACCTTTAACCACCTCGAGTTCATGGTATATACTAGTTCACTGTATTCATGGTTATGCGGCCCAACGCTCGCTAAACCTTTATAAAACCAAGAAGGTTACACCCAGCGAGTATAACGTAGCAACCCTTTCTTGTCAGATCGTGCTCAATGTACATGCCAATAGCTGCTAATGGGGATCGCAGCGTGCGCGTTACCTAAAGGCCGAATGCTCCTGTCTCTCATTCCCCCTTAGCAGCCATTAACATGTGCATTGAGCACTATATTTTGTTGTTCAACAACGCACAGAAGAAATCTCTCACCGGAACAACCTTGGAGGTCAAAATCGTAAGGACCGCTATTTCGGGTATGTGCCACTGGTGGTTACGCACTACGAGGGACGCACAAGCCACGCCATAAGGAGCTTCGCCCCTAAAAAGAAAAAAAAATGCTATCATTTTTTTTGCTGTTCGCATTTATAAGTGTTGCTCGAAAATGCTAGCATGTATAAGTGTTGGTGCACCCAAGGCTCCAACCTCAGGTCACAATAACCGCATCTGAACAAACATTCTCGCCAGTATACACTGCCGAAGACCAAAGGGACCCTGAAACGGTTTTGACGATTTCGCACAAACACATTGGGCCGGTAGACCAAGCCCGAAGGATCATTTTACAGACTGATTTAAGCTCTCTGCGTAAACTCTGTAATTTTTTACAACACTTTATTGCGGCGAATCGTACTGCGGTTCAGCCAAACGTGCGACATCCACTGGAAGTGCGACGTCACCTAGGCTGCTGATCTGATTGGGTGTGGAATGCGCGCAAGTTCGGCGGGTAGGTTGGTGGCGGGCACCTGTCGGAGCAGAGATAGAGTGTACTAGAAGTGTCTTCTAGTGCACTGTAGCAGAGATATCAACCGCTCCGCGACCTTAGTCTCTGTTGCCAGATGGCGTGCGTGATGCCGGGCGCACCGAGCTATATGATGTCCGAGATTTCGCGCAATGGCGCAACCTGTCGGCGTGCAATCTCGGAGGTCATGAGTGGGTGAAACTCAAAACTTCCAGCTGCGTCCAGTGCGCTCATGAGAGCTCTGCGATCAGCAGTGACGCCAGCGTGTCTCATGAGTTGAGGAGCCAAGGCAGGGGTGAGAAGGAGAGTGTGATATGATAGTCCATAGCTGCCTTGCGTGTAGGGCGTGTCACCAAATTTGTGGTGCGAATGGTTTGACGATTCTCTAACCTAAACGCTGACAAAACTTAAAAAAAACACAAAAAACGTTTCAGGGCTCTTATAGAATTGATTTCTATAACAGAGCAAATCTCCAACAAAATATTTCTCTGTGGGTCCTTGAAGGCTTCCTCGCGAACTTGTACACGACGCGTTTGTGAATCACAGTACCCTCATTCGCAGCGTAGATGCGACACCCAAAAAGCAGCCACTTCAAAAGTTGCGCCAATTTTGAAATGTTGGCATAGGCTAACGTCAACGTATCTGGGCAACGTAAATGTCACGTCGCTCATATCTAGCTCATACCTGAATCCACCCACGTCGCGCATCTCAAAATAACCCCGAAAACCTCGCTGACACATTGAGCCAGGTTGAGCTACTAAATATAAGCTTCTTTCAGCGCTACCAGTCTCTGTTTGGTTTCTACGTGCTTTCTTCGCTTTATTCACCATGCCTAGCGACAACGCTGATCGCGCGCTTGGCAACACTGAGCCATCAGCTGTGTGTGTGTGTGGTGTTTTAATCGTTTCAATCTTCTAAACCCTTTGTCAAACGTCTCTTCCCGGCGCGTTGTTGTTGGCTTGCGATGCAATTAATTCGCTCCCGTTTACCACTAACACTCCTGGTTGAACTTCTGAACGTGGTCTTGCACCGTGTGGTTGGCCGGGAGGCACTTTTGTCTGTTAAAAAAGGTTTGTAATCCGCATCTCCATTGTTCGCGGTAACCCCATCATTGCGCTATAATGCCCGCGGACGTTGACAGCTCGTGAATGTCACGTTTAATGGCCACGGCCCCGTTTGATGTCGTGAACGACATCGGTTTAAAAAGGTAACTCCTTGGGCAGGGTTGTTACCCCGCTTCAGTGCGTTGCGCCTACGCGTTGTTGCATCGCTGCGTTGTTTTCACTGTTGAAACGTCAGCGCTCGTTCTGGCCTTTGTGGACGACGTTCGAGGGAACCGTTCTCTCGCAGGTCTATGGCAGCGGAGGCAGACCCCATACATCCACACTGCCTAAACTGCGTGAACGTTGCCAAATGTTCGGCGAGGCTGGAGAAAAGAATCAGCTGTCAAATCGTGCACTGCAAGCTTGAATGCGGCGCGAGCTTCCATGCCTGCAAAGGCGATGAGCACCAGCTGCTCTGTGCCAATGTCAAGGTGAGGCGAACGCCGTGCGCCGCTTTATTTACTTTTTTGCTTGTTGATCGGTTGGTCACTGCGTTCACTTTGTGACAGCGTAGTCACCGTTGTCATTTCCGCTCAGCGCTGGCTGCCCGTTGCTCTTACTAATGAAGAACCTCTTAGCAGCTTTGCATACTGTGTCCGAAAGTCTCAGTGCTTGTAAACCATTAAGTGCCAAAAATTTAACTGTCACTTTCATGGAGTACTATGGGAATTCGGCGTGTACGACATGAAACTGCGGAGTTTAGTATCATTAAGTCATGTTTCATCTAAAGCAGCCGACAAAAATCACTGGGCAGCAGTCCGATCTTTTATAAAATAATCCGAATTGATGTTTAAGTGATGAAGGTGTGTATATTTGGCACGACCATAATTTCAGTGTGTGTCAGACTTCCGAAAAACAAACAAACACAAAAAACATGATTTCAGACCTCTTGATTTATCCACCACCATGTTGGTGCCAAACCTTCCAATCTTTTTGATCAAGTTTTTTCCAGCGTGTCTGTGAATGTTGATGAAGTTTTATGAAAAACAAGATTGCATACGATTGAAGGTGAACTTATTGTCTAAACACTAAATGACTGAACATTCAACTCTTAAAGTTGTGTGTTCACGCTTGTCTTTAAACTCTTCGAAGCTTTCCAGTTGTGAATGCATGCAAGATTCACGAAACAAGCCTGTTTGGATAGGCTTCTGAAGCGGAAAAAAAAAATAGGTAATCGCAGAATTGCAGAAAAAAATTCATTCCGATTTAAGAACGCGACATCACTTGTCACACTCTGCTGTACCAAAACTTATTGCTGTCTGGCATAAGTCATACCTAATAACAAGCATGAGCATTCTACAAAGCCATGTGCTCAGGCACGATTTGGTGTTTGGCATACCCCTTTCTCTTCCCATTCTCTTAACGCTTTTGTGTGTGTCTATGGGATTTAAAAAAAAAAATATCAAACTCAAACTAACAGTGTTAGTATACCTGTTAATTCACATGCGAGGATGCCTGCACATGCTTATTCCATGTTTGTGGGTGCTTGCACTAGCGGGAGCTAGGAAAGAGAAATTTGAAAGGCAGAGATTTTAGCTATGATAAATGTTAGGACAAGTGCATATATGGAAGTACAAGGGTTTCAATAGAGTGCCATACTCAATTGCATCCTAAGAAAAAAATGTAAGCTTGACCCATAGAACTACAGCATGCCTGCCATTTCGCGTGTGAAAGACAGTCATGCTAGTTGGTTTCTTCTCAAACTGAAAGTACCTTACCTGGCTAATGTAAATGATGTGCATATTAAGCGTTAAAAGTTCGTGGCACTAGTTAAAAGGTTACGTTTGCCTGAGCAGCGATGTCAGAATTTCTGATGAAATTCATAGAGACAGTCAGTTTACGACAGAGAACCAGCGACACAAACACGTGACTGCATAAAAAAGTCGACTATCTGAAACTCTCCAAAAGCTATTGGCATCACAAAAATAAGTGCTATTGGGTGGAGTATTTATGAAAGTTCTCTGTTTGAGGGAAAGCAATGGCTGGAGGGGGGGGAGGGGGAGAGCTGAGCTGAAATTTTTTCTTTGGTTGTAAACGACTAATAGCAAATGTTCTAGCTTTTAGAGTGAAGTTACTCTGGAAATTTTTTTGAAATGAGGCTGTTCCTACAAACTTCATACGATCGGGCGGAACATTGCAAACTGAAGGACTGTAGGCTCACAGGACACGGCAATAGCTATCAACTAATCTACCTGTTGATAGCTAGCACTGCATCTTGTGCATTCATGGTCCAGTATTTTGCACCGTGCTGCGATGTTATTAATGAACTGACTAGCCCACATAAGAACGCTTTCTAACTCTATACCTGACAACCCTTGAGTCACTTTCTCTTTTCTTGCTACAGGTGCCATGTGCCAACGCCGTCAATGGCTGCCCTGCATGGATGCTCCGAAACCAGCTCGGCAGCCACCTGCAGCACTGCCCCGCGAGCCTCGTGTTCTGTACGGCCGAGTGGAACCGGTGGGGCTGGCGTCGCAGCGAAACTGTGGGCGACCCGCAATACGAGCATCGGCAGTGTGCTGATCGTTCAGGAAGGCTCCAGTTAGACTTTGCTCTAGCCATGCGGGACCTGCGGAGACTCACCGACGAGGACATCCGCCGTCCAAAAGAGATGGAGGAGGCAGACAAGAAGGGCACTGAGGCACATGTAAGCATGCAGTGACCATGTTTCAAATGCAAAGAGCATCCATTCATATAGCACAATAGTATTTCATACAGGCGATGGGTGCTTATTGATTGATTGATTTGTTAACAGTGGAGCTGTTCAAGCTTTTCTTTCTGCTGTTTCGCTTGAGTAGAAAACTAGGCAGCGTCTAGCACATGCAGTGTAGTTACCCAGTTGGCATGCAGTGTAGGAGTTTTTTCAGCATGTGTGCCTTCTGAAAAGAAGAGAAGCACTGACTAGATAAGTGGAAGAGAAAGAAACAGAGATGGATTCAGATAACCTTGCTAACTGATATAGTGCTCATTATGACAGTGCTGATAAAACCTCACCAATTATGACCAGGTTAATTAAGACCTTGCTAATGAGACCCAAGCTTGTTAGGACTTTGCCAATAAACTATTGGCAATATAGGGTTAAAGCTCCCGAGGTTCAATTGAAATTTCCTTTTATCGCAGGCAGGCGTTGGATCCACTGGTAGCCATCATTACCCGTACAACGGCAGCTATGGCATGGGTGTCCCAATCGCGAGTTTGTTGAACGGTTACATCAACATGTGCGAGGGAAAGAACTCTGATCTGTCAACCGCCATAACGGATGCTGAAGAGAGCGCCTCGGGTTAGCCAAGAGAAAGCACATTGAAGAGGAAGTCAGGAACATGCGATTGGCCGGGGCACGCCATGCTCTGAGGCATGATCTTGACCTGAGCACTGAGCTGTGCGTGGAGTTCCTGACGCGGTACCAGGTGAAGCCGGACACGATGTACACATTTACGTGCTCACAGGTGGGTTTCACACATATTTTGTGCTTCCTGCATGCGCTGTATGCATCACTTTCAGTTGTGCCAACAATGGCGCCATTGTTGTTGTTGGGTCCCATTATACTTGCATCACCTTTTGTATTAGGGGGTAAGAGGTAAGTTAGCTGGTGTGACATCGAAATGAAGTTGAGTGCCGAGTTTAAGTGGCTCAGCAAGAACACGAAGTTTTTGGAGAAGGGGCTCTCTCGCTACTAACTTTTTGATCTGTGACTGAGAGAGGTTCCCCTCTCCAAATCTTGTCTAGTTATCTTTCAAATGCAGGAGGGGGGGGGGGGGGGGAGATGCTTGCTCCACATCTTACCGTAAACCTTAGTGTATCGACAGTACAAGTTGTGATCAACCGATCTTGTTCAAACGGGCTTCTCATGTTTAGATGCTTTGATAACTCCCAAGCTAAATTCTGTGTGGTGTTTTCCGACGCAACTTTAAACAGGGAAGACAAATTGTACAAGCTCGGTATACTTTGATTCATGCCTATGCATAAAAATCTGTATTTTCTCGCACATAACCCATGATAACGATGCAAAAAAATTTGGAGCTTATTGTGCAGAGCTTAAAAGTTTAGATTTGGGTTATACAGAAATTAGTTTGGGGCATGTCTTCACGGCAGTGCTTTACGACAATGCAAGGAAGGTTGAAGTGGATGCGACGGAGGTAACTGACTGTAGATAGGGAAAGAGGAATGACACTGTTGGCTCAAACTGACTGAAAATAAAACAGTCTTTGACCACAGTTAGCAGGGATCATTTCCATGAATGTAAAAGTAATTTTCCTGGTTGAAATTTATAGAAAATATGTGGTGATATTTTTTTCATATATTCTTCTGCAAGGGGGTAATTGGAGAGAGGGGTTGTATGTAGGGATAAGTGTTATATTAGCAAATACGATGTACCTCCGATAACTCATTTGTTCACAAAGGGTAACACATTCATATAACTTTTAAAGGGACACTAAAGGCAACTATCAAGTCAGTGTTGATTGTTGAAATAGCGGTCCAGAAACCTCGTAGTGTTACTTTTGTGCCAAGGAAGAGCCTATTTTGAAAAAAATCACGTTTTAGTGGCCCGTATCGGGTTAGCGCACTTAAAATTACCCGCCTCAAGAAGCGGACCGACGAGATCTGTTGCCGTGCACAACGTTGCCCGGCTTTACTTCACTAGTAGCAGCAGACCAAAAGCAGCGGGAGCCACAGCAGCAATAAAAGCCATTGATCAATTTCCCGGCATTGCCTCGTGAGATTGCAGATGTTTTTGGTTCAACTGCACCCCGCTAGACGGCACCACCTGTCCAGTGTCTCTACGCGAAAATTGAATTTTCGAACCACTCGCGCCATTCCCCATAGTAACGTCCAGCGGTTATTTTTTCTATGAATCAAACAAAAATGAACAAGCAGCATTTTATTGCGCCTCTTGATACAGGGAAGGTTCTTTATTTAGTGCAGCTAGATCGATTACTGGTGATTAATTGTAGGCGGTCTGTCTGAGGTCACCTGGATCATTTTGAAAATGTCCTACTGAGGCGGTGTTCTTGTGCACTTACCTTGATTTCTCGATAAGTAGGGCACTGTTGTTGATAATATTGTTGTTTTAGATGTTGTCATACATTGAGCTTTCACTCTGATGTAAATTGTAATTCGACTTTAGTGTCCCTTTAAGGGGGGACATGGCACCAAATTTATGTTCATTTTTTTTGATGGATTTTGCTGAGTCTATATGTAGTCTTTTTTTGGCAATGCAAAATATGCCTTTTTTTTCACTTTCGTTCTTTTTTTCTTGCTGTGTGCTTTTCTATCACTTTTTGTGTATGTTTTTCTCTATCTCTTGTAGTTCTCTCTCGATCTTTCTATATGCTTATGTCTTTTCTCATTTGTTTTTTTTTTCTCTTTTTTTTTTGTGTACTCGTTCTATCGTCTATGCCAGACGAATTGTTGCATGTGTTGTGGAAGCGAAGCAGAAGATGAAGAGGTAGAAGACACCGCATGTTGGTTGTTAACGACGGGGACTTCTGTTTTGCACTACTCGGTGTAACAGCTCCATTGCAAGAGAATTTTTAAGATCAGTGTCTTCCTTAAATAAGGCTAAAAAGGGGTACCACCCTAGAGCCGATACACACATTGGACTTCTGTATCAACAGGCTTCTTCCCATGCTAGAAAGGTGGCCTTAAAGTAAAAGCTCAGTAGCCCTGGGAAAGCCTCAACAGAAACCAGAATGCAGTTGACAAAAGCTTGTTTATCACTGTTTCTGGTGATGCAGCATTTTAAAAATTTCATTGATTGCTCATGTGGGAGTCATTAGAATAAATATTCCGTACTCGGACTAAAAACTTCACAAGGTCCCCAAATAAGCTATTCATTCAAGTCTCTTGGGGCTTAAGCACCAGAGTGTGTCCTAGTACATAATGGGCTTGTTGCGTTTGCAGGTCTTTCGACGAGACGAATACGCCTGGCATTATCAGAATGTCCACAGGGACATACACTGTGGCCTCAACGGCTGGCTGGAGCACCGGTGTCCGTTGGCACAGTATGGCTGTACCTACTCGAGGAGGATGTTTCACCCGATATCGCCAGGATCTCAACTTGTCTTCAGTGAAGTGCTGGAAAGCTTTGGTGTTTCTTTTCCGTCATTGGTCACGGAAGCTAGGCCAATTGAAAATGGCGACACGAGCGAACGGTGAGTTGCGTAGAAGTTGAGGGCGGTTTGATTTCCCCAATTTTTCGAAATGATGCTTTGTTGTGGCGCTTTGTTGTGAAACGTTGCTTTGTTGAGAAAATGTTTTTGACTAACAATATTGTGAAAAATTGTGTCTTGCTAATAAGATTAGGAATGTTGGAACTTCCAGTCACTGCAGCCACCAGGCCTGTGGCCAGAAATTTTTTTAATGGGGGGGGGGGGGAGTATGCCCTCTTGCTGAAGGCCTTGACACCCTTTTCTATAAGAATTATGGGGAGGAGGCAGTAGAATTGAAATTTACCTTTATGGGCTTCTTAGATGCTTATGGCAACAATGCTTTCTGTTGTGTATACACAAGAATGGTGCACTCCGAAATTGGTATAAATCGGTGGAGAGCATTCACTAATTCGGAAGTTTCTGCATCGTGCTAACATAGTGGCTATGGCATTGGTCTTGGTGATCGCATTTCAAGGTGGGGCGGAAAAGAAGAGTTCAAAGAGAAAAAAAGTGTAGTTATATTCAGGCATATGTTAAACAACTAGGCAGATGAACTGAATCTTAAGTTTCCCGCTGCAGCATGCGTCTGGATCAAATTGTGTTTCTGGCACGCAAAACCCCACAGTTCAAGTTTCTGAAGCTTATAATCATAACTAAAAAATTTTTGTAAAAAAACCAAGTCACTTGAACAACCAACAAACACTGAATTTATACCAACTAATTAAGTTTCTTGTTACACCAAAAAGTGCTGAGGCCAGGAAAAATTGGGACTATACTTCTAATAATGGCTAAGCTGTTAGAACAGGACAGTAGACTCCCTTTAAGATGAACTCCAAGGGACCACCATCACTTGCTAATCTTATCAGCAGTCAATTTTCTCAGAAGTGCCCCCAAAAACCAAATGCTAACATGCCAAATACACCCAAATACATATGTTGCTTGAAAACTCTGAATGAAGTGTCGTTACGATGGAGAGGAAAGCAACAAGAAAATGCATTTTAAGCATTTATTTGGCTCAGCTTGATAAAAACTACGCTTTCAAGTAGAGTATTTAGACTAATATAACGAGTACTCAATTTGGCAAGTTCATAATAAGTATTCTCATGAATTAGTTGCTATGATTTTTTAACAATAAAACTGTAGCACGACCTTATTTTGACGATTAGAAAAAGATAAAAAGGGAGAGACAAGCACAATTTTTCTTCAGAGAATGGAAAATTTATTCTTCTGGCTGTTCACCTTCTGAGAGGCTGTTTTACTGGCTTTGCTATCACTTTTAAATATGCCTCAATTACATACCTCTACTTTGACAAAGCCAATATACGCAAGTTTCTTATGAAAGCCTGCAAGCTTTTCTTTAAGGTTCGGATATTTTCTTATTTTCAGCCCGTGGTAACTTTTTCTGAACGACATGCTGCTGATGATCTCCGTTTACATTACTCACGATCAGAAGCATCGGGCACATGAAAAAGACACAACGCAGCTATGTTTAGTGTGCAAAATTACCCTTTTTTGTCGTGCACTTTTATAATGAAAATTGCACATCACAATTTGCTGCGTTTCACTGAGAACAGATACAACACGCACAGGCCCTATGCAGAACAACGGAAACTGACCACAGCATGTGCTCGGGCGCCACTGTGTGACTGTGATGACAATGCATCTGACTCCCCTGAGGAGTGCTAATGCCGCATCTGTGGTTTCGGTTTCATGAGGTTATAATGCACAGACATTCTTGTACCCTTTCTCACTTTCATTTGGCCTTTTTTTCACCCTCCTTCCTTTGCATTTCCCCCTCTAGCCAAGCTCTTGTGTTCTTCTGTCTTGCACTGTACTCCAGTTGGGGTACCGAAGAACGCGAAGAGAATACAAAAGGGCAAATGCCTTTTGTTCTTTTTTTTGTTGATAAAGCCTGTCCTTTCTCCACCTACAGGGAAATACTACCAGCTTTGTGCGCTGACCTTTCTTTTCCGCATGTATCGCTTCCTCCCTCCACTTCGCAATTTGCTTTCGGTTTGCTTTGAGTCTGCACCAGGAAGTTTTTTGTTTTTATTTTGCTTTTTCTTCTTTGCCTGAATGCCCTCATCAAGACTATAATGTTCATTGCGGAGAATCCCTGTCATTGTCGGTCGCAGCGATAGTTCGTCTTTACAGAAGAGGCCTGTTACGCGGTTTCGTCTTTAGCAGATTTTTTTTTTTGCATTGAGTGTATGGGGAAACCAAAGAAACACTACCACGTTGTTCGTCTTAAGCGAAAATTCGTCTTAACAGAGTCCGTCTTAACGGCAGTATACCATAATATGGATTATTAACAAAAAATTGTGAGAGGAGACTCAAGAGGTAACTCGGATATGAATGTATTGTGAATCAGTACTATTGTGAATTTTTCAATGTAAGCAGCTTCACAGTTACACAGTGTTGTGTATAATTGTGTGCACAGTTTCCCTTGTAGCAGTAAACTTCCGCTTCAAACGCCAGGTTTCTGCTCTAAATTGCAATTGTTGTTTCACTCAAAAAGCAGTTCTAAAAGCTTGCATGTTTCTCCCACCACTGGCAGTGAGGTGCTGAAAGATGTCACACGGTCGTTAGTGGAAGAAGTGAAGCCTAATGGGAAGGGTGATGCGCACGAGGGGTGAGTACTTTAGCAGGACATTCCATCACTCTCACTAACTGATGCAGTTTCAGCGGGCTGTGTATTCAGATTAAGTGAAGCATTTGGAATGGTATTGATGCTCATGTTTTTTTATACAGTCGAATCTTATTATAGCAAACATAAAATTAACCATTTGATCATGTCTTCGAGAGTTGATCATAAGCTCAAAGTTAAAGGAACTTTGTGTAAAATTAAGGGGAGGTGTGATTCGGAAAAAAAGTATCGTATATCTGTAGTGTAGGGCAAGGAAAGTTTTGTTGTGGGTATGTAGGCCTCTATGCCGATTTGAAATATGTAATTAATTTTATAGTAAGTTGCGCAGTTTTAGTTTTATGCCATGACCATGTGTAATGTGTTCGTCTTGAACAAACTTTTCATGCCACTAAACATCTATGGTTCTCGGCTGCAAAGGGTGCCGCAAGCACGTCTCCGTGAACGATCAGTGACAACAGGGCCCAGTCGCTTGAGGAAGGGCAAACTCCGCTCGCGGTGACTTCGAGAGGTACAGGTCCGCATAGTCGACCACGTCGCACCGCTCTTCAGCCTAGCGTTCGGAAGGGGCACCGAAAAGTAAGCGTTTGCCGTGGGCGTAGGGCACTGTTGGCATGTCCGGGCAAGCTCTAAACAACGGAAGCTGACGGACGGAAAGAAATGCGTGCTTACCCTTCGTTGACCAAAGAGGTTTCTCTGACTCCCGACACACACTCGCGAAACATCCCAAGAGACTCTAGCTCAGCGCCACCATCGACGTCTGGGTCAAAGGGGTCAACGTAACTCCCGCTCCCCCAGTGCCCAAGGACCGCAGAGGAGGAGAGAATATGCTAGGACAGCGATCGAAAAAGCCCGCACAATAGTGGGGGGCTAGCCTCAATATCCACAGTACATGTATTTTCGACCTTTATGTAACAGAGTAACAGTGTGAGACAACCTTTTATAACGAATTTTCGTAACTAACAATCTAGGAATTTTGCCCCAGATTTTGTCATGTTGACAGGATGATGCTTTATCGGCGCGGTTGCCCTGCCGCCCATGAAGCACAAAACGGGGGCGGCGTGAAGCGGTGGTGGCGCCCACAATGCGCTCGTGGCACCGGCGACTCCCAGACGAGACCAAGCGCATGGTGTGCCAAAAGTGGGCAGGCGGGCCTGAGTTTCTTGAGCCGGCGTTGCCTACGTCAGTGCATGCGCCCATGTGCCCTCTCCCTCCCATCAAACCAAAAACCAAAATAAGAAAATGACTTTTGCATTAGCAGTGCCACTCTTCGATTGCTGTAGAGTCTCTAAGTGAAACAGGTGGTGTCACTTTGCACTTTTACACATTTAGTTGGCGTCATATATGGGTCCGCCCTGCATATGAAGTGCACTTTACCGAATAGCTTTCTGCAGTATCCAAGTCGTTCGCTCTTCATTTTCAACTTTGTGCGCACGTGCAAGGGTTCGCTGCGCGTGCATGGAGTGGCCCCCAACGACGTTAAGCTTTGTTTTGTTTTTTTATGCGGACAACCGTGTCCTTACTATCGAGCAGATGCCAGATTAGGCCCTGACAGAAACTATTCGACTCCACTGTGACAATGATGGTTCTTTGGAGGTCGGTTCATCACGCACTTTGCTGTCTACCGCTGCGCGTTGAATTCGCGGGATCGTAGCCTTCATGATTAGCCGATTAGCTCTGGCAACCCAATGACGCGTTGAATGCAATAGCAACAAATTGTAATATTATAGAAAGTGAGGCTGGCAGCCAACTCTTTTGGATCCAATATCACGGCGCTCCTACAAAACACTGGTGTAAGCAAATACGGCAACTCCTGGGAGAAGTGGTCTTTACACACAGTCTCTTCATGTTGAAAGTACACTCATGCTTGCCGAGATAGCATGCGTGTGGCAGCGATCGCGACCGCGCCCTGAGAATCGAAGTTCACTGTTACTACTCTGCCCTGTGCTTTTTCATGCTTCTTTAATAAAACGGGTGGTTTCCTTTCTGTTTGAGCATTCGATCGCAGTTCTAACATGCGGGGGGATGTTATCACATGCGTCCTCCAGGCGACAAAGATAGGCCGGTTCATTTGATCTCTGCTTCAGCAGTGCTCGCACACTTTTATCGCTCGTAAATGTTAATATGCATGGGGGAAGGTTATCAATTTGGATTTGTTACGGAACATGTTGGCAACCGGGAAAACCCACAAAGTGTGTCTATATAGTTTCTATGGCAAGGTTAAGGCAGTTTTTTACCACTAAATGAGTGTTTTGGGTTAGCTCTCCCTTCAGTTCCCCTTGTGTTTAATTTGTGCATTTATTTTTCAATTTTTCTTATCTAGCCTGCATATAACGAAATCCTCTTTATAACAATACAGTAGACTCCTGTTAAACGAAGCTCTCATAAATGAAATTGATGCTTAAATGGAACAACTGCCACTATTATGTTTGGTTTCGTAGATGAATAATATACCCCTGTCTAATTTTCAGTAAACAAAACTTCTCTTAAAAGAAACACATTCTCCTGATTACTTCAGGTTTCGTTTAAAAGGAGTCTACTGTATAATAAATTTTTCCAGAAATTTGTCACTTTAGTTGTATTCAGGTTTAACTGTACACCATTTACCACTGGCTTACTGTCAATAGACTCAAAATAATCATTCTTGAACAAAGCATGTACTTTTTTTCGACAAGCCATACATGACTTCCCTAAACATGGCATGTGGCTTGATCAATGGAGGGGTGGGTACACTGAAGCACATACAGTTGGATAAAAGGGGCATTCCAAAATGTTTCTGGCTCCAGTTTCACCCTGAAGTAACAGGATCGAATTGCTGGTCCTGTCATGCTTGTGAATTTGGTTCCTATCGAAATGTGCACTGCCACTATCACTTTGGACAGAGAAACTCGACTCGCTGCCCTAGATGAGTAGTGGTGATGCTTGCGCCGTTAAAACATCACACGGCTTCATCGTCATAACAGTGTACATCTCACCAACCTTGCAAACTGACATCATGAACTTCTTGCTGCACAACTTTCATGCGATGTGCCTACATGATGTGCCGGTGATAGTCACTGGAGACTTCGACGTTTATGTACTTCGACGTAAAAACCAGTGGCATGTTGCGTTTCTCGATGCCGAACTTGGACTTCGCCTCCTGTCGGACGTCACTTAGTCAACTATTTACAACAGCTGTTTAGATATTCTGGTTACTGCATTATTGTCAATTCAAACACAGTCGACCGTGTTCACTACATTTATCACGTTTCCTAATTCTCCGTGCCTTACTTTATACAACAGCCCAATGTGTTGCTATTGCATTCATTTCTTCAGCCTTATGCCGAAACTGTGACTTTTTTTTTTTTGTCACCCCCTGCCATTTCTCAATTTTAGACATTCATGTTGTGAGCACATATGCACACCTACATTGTTTTAATGTGCGCTGATATCATGCTTGCAGGGCAAAATCTCGCCTGGCCAACGGACACTCGCATACTGGTTGCACTTGTGAAGAAACTGGTGGTGCCTTGAAGCCCCGTGGCAAAACATTGTTGGACTTGCCTTTCGAAGTGAGATCTTTTTCTTTTGTGAGGGACAACTCGTCCTCTTTTCATGAGAGACAAATAGACCCTTTTCGTAGTCCACAAGTGCACTTCCTGGTGCCGTGCATTTGCCCAACTATGGTGGCAGCTGTCATGCTTCAAGTGGAGACAATATACTAGTTGCACACTCTGGGGCTTGTCTGCTATGCATACTTATATCAGGAGAGCCAAGCCTGCATTTCCCATGCCATAGTGAAAGCAAACTGGGCACTATTTGTAGAGCCCGCTGTTAGTAAAAGTGACTGTCATCAGTTGCGCTAACTGCTTTGCAGGAAAGCTAGCTTTACAATTATTCAAAGAGTCTAATAGACTATTTCCAGAATTGTAAAACTATATTATGAAAAACTGGTAACTATTAAAAGGGTCTATTAGACTCTTTTGTGATGCAATAATTGATTGTGCCTAACAGTGAATTATTGCAATGTTAGTGTCTGCCCCCCCCCCCCCCCCCTTTTTTTTTTCCTCGATAGGCACTCGTGATTGGCAATAAATCGAGTAGGTGACTGCGTGGCTTGTTTACTTCTGTTATGAACTGTGCGTCTGCTGATTCAGGCAACTAGTCTACATCTCGTGTAATGTGGTACATTGGATGTAGTGTTGCTTAGCGAAACAAAATTGTGGGTTTGGCCATGGCAACCGCTTCTTTGTGTGGGCGGAACATAGAAGTTTTCGTGTATCATGCATTAGATGCACATTTAAGAACACCAGGTGGTCGAAATTTCCCGGATCCCTCCACTGTGGCATCTCCCATAACCTACTGGGCAGTTTTAAGGCATCGAACTGCACAATTTAGTTCTTACCTTTTATTTCTTGGGGCTGGGTTCTCAGTGATTCGAATCGGAATACAGTGATTGCCTCATTGGGATGGCTGTGATGTAGTGCTTTTGCTTTATGTCACACCCAAAGGAGTTTCGTATGAAGTGCCTTTTTTTTCGTTTCAGGTTCTGCAGTTCATTGCTGGCTTTCTGGATGCCTTCAGTTTGAATAACTTCTCCATGGTCTCAAAGCATTTGAGGGATGTCTCGTGTTCACTTCTGACCACCCGTGGAATGGTGGTGTTGAAATGGGAGAGGCTAGGAAAACGTTGCTGGAGTGTCTGCTCAGAGGTAAGCTTGTCTCTGCATGACTGGTGCTCCAGAAGATGTGCATACCGAACATGCTGCTTTGAAAGACACTAAAGATAACTTCATGCCCTGTATATGGGCTTCTAAAAATTTAAATCTGAGGCCTTTGCTTTTACATTTGTAGGCTTTAGTTTCCTGTGAGGTACGCAGGTAAGAAAACAAATTTGTAGTACGCTTGAGCTTGGCCTTCAAAAGCAGAACGCAGTAGCGTGAATGAGCCCTGGGCGCATTCGCCTTCTCAATTGCTAGCCTGGCTTCGATCGTTGGTTCATGCCTCAACTGTGTCGTAAAGAAACGAACAACTGCATGCACAACATTGTCTACGTATTTCAGGGTATCATGGAATGCCTACTGCAAGTACAGTTGTTACTGCCATAATTATTTCTTTTGTGATTCAGTGAATCACGATGCGTTCGTAAGACAATGCTCGAACATGTTTAAGTACGTTGGAATGGGCAGCTCCTGTCAGAGCCATGCTGCCCAAGATTTTTATGTTGGTGTTTACGTTGCCAACAAGTTGTTCTAGTTATTGCAGTACAATGCACTTGTGTGTTTCCTGCACTCGTGGTTGTATATAGCAATTACTGACTGTCAGCAAGGTAATGGTGGCGTTCCTTACAGTAACAAAAGCAACCATCCGACAATCTAAGCATGCTCAATTATTCAAACAGCTTTGTGACGCCTTGAATAGTCCCGCAAATTTTGCATAGGCGAATTGCGGAACGTCTGTTGACAGCTTCGAACTTCATTGGTGCTAATTTAGCCTGCAGCTCTGGAAAGGTCGCCGATGATGAATTGGTTTGACAGTGGTGAACAAAATACTTTGTACTGGACATCAGCATAGGAAGTGCTGCTTGTTGGTGCCTGAGGCATCCCTTGCATGGTAATTCTTGATAACTTCACTGTACTTTTGAAAAGACCCTGTCGTCTTTGGTTCTTCACATGGAACAGCTGCAACGAAAGGGCCATGTAAAGAGTGCCAAGGATGAGATAACCATAGATAAAAACGAAACGGATTGATTGAAAAGGTTCACTTGTTGTCAAGGGCAAGAGAATCAGTTTTACACGACATAGGATGTGATTTTGGTGGCTAGTCATGTCTTATATGGGAGAACATGGCATATTTCTCCCCGCTCCCTCCCCCTTCGCTTCCAAGATTTGTAAATGGTGGTGCCCTGGCTTGCCATATTTACGTACTCGCGTAGTAGGGCCGGTTAGCACGAGTGAATGCTAGCTTTGTCATTGCTAACGTTGGCTGGCATTGTGTAACGGCTAGAGGAGGCTAAATGTAGGCCATCCGGAGGCCTCCATAGCCCTCCAGGGCGGCATCTATCATTATTACTATATCACGATTTTACGACATAAAACCCCACATAATATTATTAACGTTGTTTTTATTTAGACTAAATTCTGCGAGGCTTTTATGTATACGTATTGTTGTGTGGTTGTGACTGTGAAGAAAGCTACAACTGGGCTGAAAAATAGCCAACTTGTTATTGGACGAACTTGGGCCCAGAAAAGTAAAAAACGAATGTACAAGCAATTCACTCTGTACATATGATAGTTGCGAAAACAGTCGATGGCTGTCGAGAAAGATGATAAACGGTTAACCCGTTACATTTAAACAGCTGGCATCGAGGATGCTAGCTTTATCCTTGGTGGCTGCGTACCATTATAAGGCGGTTGGTGTTGTGCAGTGAAGTTTATTGTGGCGATCTACAATAATCGGGAATGTTTGACTTTCTGGCACGGTGCATGTATGTATGGTAGTGGTTGCACGTTAAACTGTTTGCTTTCATGAGAAGAGAAAAAGAAGCATGCATTGCATATGCAACCCGAATTGGTTTTGTCTGAATTTATATTTTTGTCACATGTTAATCTATTCTGCAGTGCTGTTCATCCAGACAATGAACGATCTGGATTCTCCATGTAGAAGGGTCCCATATGACGAAAACTAATCTGGAGTCCCTCCCTTACAGCAAGCTACCTAATCATACCGTGGTTTTGGCATGCTAAACCCATTATCAGGTGATAAGCTGGAACTTGGAAAAGCTGGCTGACAAGGCTAACAGTACAGCGTGTCCGTGGTGTAGAAATGCACGAGTGTCTCAGAGAATGCTACGATCATCACGGCTATCGGAGGACTTCTGACCGTAAAGGATGTTGGAGATAAATCTGAAAGTGATGGAAATTCCTTGAGCACAGGATGTCGCTGCTGCCAATGTTTCGACATACGGTGTTTTCTTGTTAGACTACTAATGGCTTCAGGAATGCCTCATGTCCAAAGTATATTTCCCGTGACCTCAAGTTTCGTGGTTCCTCTGAACTTCTGCCTTGTTTAGCAACTTCTACTGTCTAAAGTAAATCTTGTTTTTGTTTATGTGCACGGTGTGTTTTATAATGATCTGCATGTTTAAATGTGTATTTGTTTCAATACATGTAACTGTGTCCGTTATAATGTGGTGATAGCTGCTTGTGCATATTTGAGGAAACTAGAATCTTTCTAGCTACTGGTGTTACACCGACCTTTCCAACCGTTCTCACCATATTCTCATCAGAAATTAATACGAACTGATGATTGAAAAGTTCGAAGAAAGTTGGTGATATCACTGTCTATTGTGTGACAGAGCATCCTATGTATTATTTGGAGGTCGCCGGTTCTGTCCCTGCTCCTGGCAAGTTATCTTACTGTCCACTCTTCTCTCTTCACATTTACGCTATAATTACCTCATATAATATCCCCTATACTTTTCTTTGCATGATTGTCTGTTAGATCTCATTAATATTGTGTCTAATGAAGAAAACGAGCCCATAAGGGTACGCTTCTTTTCCTTATTCGTAGTGACATCAGTGCCAATAAAACGAAAAGGTGGCATGTAGGGGAGCCGATGAACAGACCTGATGTGGCAGCATAGTGACCCTGCCGTTTATTTTTCAGAGCTGGTACTTCAGCAATGGATTCAGTCCAATCACGAATTGGGTGCTGTCGGACGAGGAGCACATGTCCAATCACCTGAAGCGGTGCAGGTACTTTGAGCCCAACATCAAGAAAAGGCCTACGGCCGTTTGCTTTGGCATCGGGAACTCTCGCCCAAAGACCATGATTGAGGTTGTTATGTAAATTCTGCCAACTTAAGCAGCACTAGCTTTATTTTGTGTTTGCTTGTTGGCGTGTGAGGAATTGACGAAGGTGAACTTTGATTTGGGGGAAAAAAAAGGATGTTGCAACCTAATACTCCACGACGTAGTGTGATCAGATGTCTTTCATTGGGCGCTGTTGCTTTTGCGTTTGGAGGGGAGGGTTGCACACTGCAGGTGCGTGGAGTGTCCCGTTGTCTTGTTTATTTTGCTCAGAACTGCAGATTTGAAGTGCATCCTCAGTTGCCCAATGGGATGAATTTGTTTTTTGTTTATCAGTAAAGTACTGTCGTTGGCGCAGGGATAGAATGGGGCTTTGACGGCATCAGATACGATGCGCGCTTGTGCAAGTTGAAGATTTGTCGTGAGTGCTTGGGGCGTAGCGGTAAATTTGAAGACCGAGAGGGAAACGAGAACGGAGTGTGGGAGGGGTTCTCGCAGTTTAGTAGTGCGGCGGTGCACTTGAAGCATGTGCACTCTGACCACCGCATTCAGAAACGCTCCTCGACCTGAACTTGACTTGCCACCGCCTTCAACGCAGCGCGCTTGAAACACATTTGTGCTGAATTGAAGTTGTAGGCGAGTCAAGTTCAAATCAAGGAGCTTTTCTCAATACGAGTGTAAGCCAAGTGGAAGTGTTCAGGGTGTTCTTGCGTTGCTCAACAATAATCGTCATCAATGACAGCTTGTGTTTCTGTTCCTGAAAACTGCGTTCTCACTGCCTTCCTTTAAAGAGTGCTACGTCATACTTATAGACGCAGGCCGTTTATGACCGAAAAGTTTTGGGAGCATCGTGATAATGCGAGGAAGTTACTGAGCTGAATGATGGCTATTGTTTTGTGGCAGGAAGACTCTGGAATACACCTTTTGTCTTGGAGTGCAGGGGGCAGCTTGCTTGCGCATGTCATGCAAATCTAGGCGAGGTGGCAGCTTCTGAATGGTCGTAACTGCCGCAGATAATTTTGCATGCTTGTTCGGTTTTTGCTAGGCCGAAGGGCATGTCATTGGAAACATCCTGTGAGGCAGTAAGTCAACTTTTCGGCCTGTTGCTTCACGAAAGCTTAGAGTAGGTAGCGAAATATGACAATGGTCCAAGTGTGGCCAAGTGTGACCAAGTGTGCTAGCTAGCTTGCCTGTGCAGTACCTTTGTACATGCCACAATATGGGCTGGAACACCTGCATGACTTGGGGAATCAAAGTTCTGTGTGACCTGCTAAAAAGAAAGAGAGCAGGACTTTGTCTTTTCATGAGTTATTTATGAATTAAGAATGACTTTGTTCCACACTATACGAAGACAATATTTGTATAAGGACGATGTATTCATTATAGGTCAAAATATGAACAGACATAGAAATATTCATGCAGTGCAGTGCAAATGTTTCGGAGCATGCTCTCACTTTCAAACAACGCATTAGGCCACGGTATATAGTTTTTGTCGATGCCACCGTTTTTGCTTAAGAGACTCGGTGTGCAGGAAGGGACCCGGAAGGTGTCTTTTCAGCATGGAACCTTGCTTAAATTTTATTTTGCCGTTTTTTATAGGTGCAGTAGATTTGAAAATTTTGAAATGTTCTAGAAAAAAGAACTGGTGGAAGATTTTTGCCACGTGAAGTATGGCGATTTTTTTTCTTTGGCAGTCCAAGCATTTACCATGCGTGGTCTGCTGCAGTTTATTATCTGTGGTCCGAGTCAGACGTGTGGTCCCTCGTGTGAATCTTTCTTTATGTGCGAACATTTCCAGCTGAACAGGTTTGCGCCCATTGTCAGACAAGGAGAAAAAGGGTCGTCCTTTGACAGTGCATGTCGGCGTAGGAGTGTAGACGAATTTGGTGATGTCAGTTGTGCGATCTAGTGCACCGGGCTTGTGGTGCGCACCGGAGTGCATGTAAGCAGCGGAAGTTTAGCCGGCTTCGTCGATTGTGGCCCTTTGTCGGCCATACCAGGCTGGACGCGCCAGTTCTCGTCCGACTGTGGATTTTCTTGCGGTTTCCGCTCCGCAGTTCAGTACTTGCAGATTTACAACCAATGGTCGGTTGCAGTGGTGTTTACCGACGAAGGGAGAGCTTGTGGTGCGAGATTTTCGGCGTTTGGTCGCTCTGTGCCTGCCACTCGAAAATTTCAGGGTCTTTCATATTGTCGAGGCAAATTCAAGTGACCCCCTTGTAGGGTAGAAAAGAGCACATTTGGTAACTGCTCTGCGCAGTGGTTGTCTTCGCCAATAATCTGCATTTGCCATCTGCTTAGACACTCGCGGCACATTTTCTTTTTTGAACCTAAACTGACTGCACATGTGTCCTTTTCGACTGATGCGGCACCCTTTGAAACAACATGTGACGTTGAAAAGGTGCCAGCTATATTTCTAGATATTTTTGCACACGAAGCACAGAACTTCGTTTTCATGCATGAGTAGCTGACTCAGTGCTTTGGTGAACAATATTTTATTTTCACAGCTAAACCTTTAACTTGTAGCACGAGAATTGCAACCAAACGTAATCATTAATTTTTTTCATGGCCAAGTCTTGTCAGTTAAGAATTTAAGATGAAGTTATTTCAAAAGATATGGCATTTTGTAATTTTGTGCTCTGGTTACGCATCTATGTACATAATTTATGACATTAAATATGTTTCGTTGGCGTGTCATGATTGGGTTGTAAAAGTTGCGGACGCCTGAAAGGAGATTTCCTGTGTTTAAGTGGTGGGATGTGTGTAGCGTTATTCCTTCTATGTTTGTTGCCTATTTATTCTGTTTTTGTTTTCTTGCCGTGGGTATGTGCTTTGTAAGCAAGCCGTCAAAAGGCTTGCAAACCATTTTGGCTTTCTCTGATTGACGTGATTTTCTCGAGGATGGCTGGTGTCGACGTCTTAGGAAAATGGTTTCTGTCTCTAGAAGCAAACAGCCTTGACACCTGCTTGTGGGTGTCATCTTGCGCATTCCAGTCAGTCCTCTTGAATATAATATGCTAGCCTTAGTGCTCACATATGTATTCGTTTAGTATTGCATTTGTGCAAGATTTATGTTAGCAACACTGCTGGAGTGTGTTATTTAAGCCCCTTGGATCGATGTGCTGTAAGTGGCATTAGCTTAAGAGAGAAGAACTAGCATGAACACATTTAGACTTTAGTGACATCCGGTCTGCTACATTTCATTACACTCAAACCTCATTGTAAAGAAGTTGCACCTTACGCAGAAATTAGTTTGTTATATCCGAAAGTTCGTTATAGAGGTTTATTCTTAACACTATATGTATCGCAAGACTATTTTTCATTTACTTCGTCATAACTGGTATTTCGTTATACGTGGGTTTGTTATATCGAGGTTTGAGTGTACATGTTTATGCTGTTTCAGATTTGCTTCACGGTAAGCAGTAATTTGTTGCATCTGGTAATTTTGTCCATTCATTATATCAAGGTATGTGTGAGCATGTCTCTAGGAACAGCAACATTGTTGGCATCTTGTGACACTTTCAATTAACCGTAATGCAATCGCGTCACAGGTGTCCCAGTACTTTATTGATCAAGATTACCTTGGCAGTGGCAGTTGTTGCTGACGCAATATGCAGCTCAAAAGTGTAATGTCGCTTCATCTCAACGCGATCACATTGTCACAGGGTGCTGCAAGCTGTGGTTCTACATATTTCAGTATTTCGGCACTTATATATGCTGGTAATCATTCTATGCTAATGCTCACTGTATCAAAGCTCACACTTCGGCGCTACTTTTGAACTTTCGATACGTAACAGTTTTATGAGCTCGCTATTGGTCCTTTCAGGACTTCTCATCTTACATGCCATGCCAGTTTTTGAAAGGCCGGCAGTTGCTGCTTTCTGTGAGGCATCGGCTTACAGCGCCGCAGACGTTGCGATTTCAAAGCGTACCTAGAGACGGTGACGGCCTTATTGAATGCGACATGGGCTCGTGCTGGCATAGCGTTTTAGGATTGCGTGTGCCCGGCATTTGCGAGAACCTCTGCGTCGCGTTGCGCATCCTCCAGTCCACATATCTCTGAGATGAGTGAAAATGAGCATCTATTTTGTTTCCAAGCTGTCTTGTCTGTTTGTGGGGCTGCATCCAATGCGTACATTCATCAGTAGTGATGTAAATGATGAAAGTGTAAAGAGGCAGCATAGTGATCAGCATACTTAAGAAAAAAGAAAAACAGGTAGATTACATTGATTTTTGCAAAAATCATCTGCTGCCAATACCTGTAGATATGCACACTCTGTGTACAGGAGGAAATTGCCAAAGCCCTTTGCAGCATTGCTGAACCTTATGAGGCTTGACATACTTTCCTAGGATCTCTTGGCAGCTCAGGGTTTTTTTGCAGAAACCTGAAAGCCATGTTATTAAGTGTGTTTCTTCTTCCAACTTCCTTACTGTCTTTTTGCATTGATGTGTGTTACACTTGTCTTATTTTTTCCTGATGGCCATGTTGTCTTCCTTCTAAATGCTTCGCACTCACAGTATTACAATTGTATTTCCCCCTCATAGTTTCAATGCCATGCATCAAGGCATGACAAGCAGCAAACATTACATGTAAATTTGAGCACCTTCTGCTTTTGCATGAATGCTCTGATTTTCAATTCTAGCTTTGATGCTACACTATTCAGAATTTCGAAGGGGCTCTTTTTTTTTCTCTGTGGGCTTGAATAAGATGCTGGCAAGATTATGCCAATACGTTTTTTCTTGTATTTTGTCGAGTGTTTGCAAGGTCACCAGCTGAAGCATGCTTTTAGTTTGATCTTGCTTTTCCATACCTACCTGCTGCATTTCTTATCAATGGCCCCCGAAAACTGTTTCTATGTGTTCCAGTACATTGTAATGTCACGTGTCGTGGAACAGCGAAGCTTGGCCAACCATCTTTAGAAATACACTAACAACACCTGCTCTTTCCAAATGCTCGGGAAAGGAAAAGCATCATCAACTCTATCCCCAGGTTGATGGTCCTGTCAGCACCACTTTCACCATTTTTACATCAGGACAATGTTTGGAAGTAAAGAGTTGTCATGGAATTTCATCTTTAGGGAAGTCGTCTTGTAACACTGCGAAGTAGCCTGTGGTACTCTAGCGGGCTGCAGTGATTTATCCCACTAACTTTGCGGTGTGTAGCTAGTGATCTGCTGAAAATGCGCTAATGCACTAAAGGTGTGGGGAAAACTTGACAGTGCCAAAGCATGTGTAAGGCATTTTTCTCGATCCATTTCTGTGTGCCTTAACCTTAAGGCCTAGATAAAAAAAGAATGAGATTGCAGAGTTGGTAGGTTAGGTGTAGCATTGGCTTGATGGTGTTCAACTACAGTGGTAGATTATAGTCTTTAGGTGAGGACACTAGCAAGATGTGATTGACAAGCTAAAGTATTAACGCCGTGCACCCCTCAGTCCGGTTACGGCAACAGATATCAGCAGGGCGATGCAACTTCAAGGCAAGAAGGTGCTGCCTTTGGAACCAGCACGTCATGGGAGATATGAATTTCCTAGTCAGCCTATCGTGGCTCTGGAATGCTGGCGACTGAAGCTGGGAAGGTTTACAGTGTTTATCGCAACCAAAAAACGCAGCGTGTGCCTAACTATAGCACGGTGGCCAACCACATGGCTTGCTGTAGCAATGGTACATAAAAAGTATTGTCTCGAAGTCGCATCAGTTCTTGAAATAGATAGTACTTGCTGCTGGTCACCAGACCATTATATGTGCGCCGTTGTTTTTTTATCTTGTCTAGCGCTCATTGCAGACAAACTAAGAAATAAGAAATGTTCGTATTAGAATAGCGCAGAGACGAATCACAAGGCGAATCCATTATGAACACTAGCCAACCAGCCCAAGTCTCTGTTTTGCCTAACAAATGTCCCCACCTAAAGAGTATACTATATCTTGCGCCATGAGTTATATACAGTTAGAACACCCAGTCGCATGAACTAGTGTGTTATTCAATTGGAATGCCTTTCGGACATGTCTCCCAGTGCTGTTATTAGCATCGGAGCCTCTTTCTCACTGAACACAAAAACTGCGTGGTGTTGTCATAGCCCAAAATGAGCGCTTTGAGTGCTGTCCTTTATTGGTGACCACTTGAAGCCATTCTTCAGCCAGGGTAGTGGTGCTATCACCAAGGGGCGTTAAACAACCGCATCTGAACTGGGCACTGCGACCAAAGATGTATCTAATGCAGTTCCCACATTTATCTGCTACCTGATATCTTGGACAGTGTACATTCCTCGGTATACAAAGAAAGAGGTTGGAAGTGATCCAGAGTTTTTCTGCTTGCAATATGTGTACTAAATCAAAAAATGTCTTTGCTCTTACAAAGCTTGCTTTTGCCAAGATATCTAGAGATGTGCTTCGGAAATGTATTTTTAAAGGGATCTGTGTCTGTGTAGCCTCAACCTTTGTTCCAGCATACTGGAGGGACTGACGATTGATGTCTAAATATGCTTTCTAGTGGAACATTTATTGCTTGGGTTAGCTATTTTGCTGTTTCTTGTGCAAAGGTTGTGTGCGTTCCCATAGCAGACTTTTTCAGTGGCAAGTTTGGTTAGAGCTGGGATAACTAGCCATTTTTAATCAGTGATCGAAAGTTGGACAGCACTAGAGAGATATAGCTGGACAGTACACTGTTCACATTAGAAAACGTAGCTTCTACGATAGCCAGTAAGGAATATGTGCATGTTTTCTTTTGAAAATTTTCTAAATTACATTTTTTTTAGTTTTTACTTTTGTGTAGAAAGTTTCACAGTATCTTTTGGGTACCAAAAACTTCATAGGCACTTGGAGGAAGTGCAGAAGGTGCTGTCGAAGTAAACTTGAACATTAACGTGACACCTCTGGTGGTTACTGAGGAGTTACAGAAGGGAAATGGAGTGCAAACATAAATGGGACATACAAGCTTATGTGCCAGGCAAAGGAAAAATGTTACCATGGGTAGAGCTTGGAATGGTGCTCAGTTGAACACTCCGATTGGCAAGGTACCAGTGGCTTCCTGTGCAAATTAATTTAAATATGAATAAGCTTTTGCAATGATAGTGATATGTTTCTTTGCTTTAACAATGCAAAATATTTAATGAGAACTATACCGTGTGTGTGTATATGTAAAGCCCACAGGGTGTAGATACTGTGACAGTGTTTTATCATGGCATATTTCCTCTTGCTTTGTGCGACCTATAGTGCTTTATTCAAAGTACGTACTTGTGTATCTGTTAATAATTGAATAAATAAGTAGTTAGTTGGGGTAACATCTTTTTGGTTGCACTACACAGTGATCAGTTGTCGGTCCCTCCAAGCTGTGCTCAACAAACGCATGCAATCCCAATCTTCGTTGTAACTTGCAATCCACTGTAGTGCAGATTGCATGGGGCGCATTAGCTGCCACAGACTGCGTTTCGATTCCCAAGTTCCCGGTGTCTTTATCTTTGTGCTTTCATTCTCGAGTGAGGAGATGTGTTTCCGTAGTGGTGTGAGTGTTGTGTTGTTTGCGTGTCACAGCGTTGCTGCTCTTTGTGATAACATTTAATCCTGCAAGGAGGATAGTCATGTAAATGGTGAAGTTGTTGCCTCCTGACGTAACGTGTCGCGTTGTGATGTCATTACTCTTGTTTGCAACTCGAGTCGTCAAACTGACATTGCTTCTGTGTGCTTTATTGTTGGTGGGAGAGAGCAGTTCATTGTGATTGTTAATTATATTTTTATAGAAGGCTTTTTGAGATTCTCACTTCCAGTTTTTGTGACAAAGAAAAAAAAAGATGACTTGCAGTATGTTGTTTGTGCTGCGTGTATGTGTGTCTGATGTAGCTCTGTATAACATGTAACAATGGCTGTGGCTGTTATAATATAATTGTAGACTGTTCATCTTCGAAACTTCCTAAGTGCAGCAGAACAGTAGGTACATAATGTTAAGAAGGTTGAACGCAATCTGTCCGACAGAGCGCCCTCTTGGTGAACATAATAGCTAAGGTGTCCTCCGGTGTGAGATTACTGGGTGCGCTCTTTACATTATAACGCCAGAGATGGTGTGTGAGAGCTCTGACCTGAAATGGATTATAGCAAAGTGACATACTGAAAGCCATAGCGGTGGCAGTTTTGTTGGGTGCAGGTCAGATAAGTTTTTGCCATCTGCACAAACTGATCAGTATATTGCAGAATTGTCAAACTTTGACCACACATGGTTGCTAAATGCATACGTGTACATGTGTGTCTGGCCTCGCATTATTGTGGAAATGGAGGGAAAAGAAAGTCAAAAGTGTCAGTTGCAACATCTCCATCAACTGGTAGAGATGTTCCCTGAGACAAAGAATTGCAAGGGTTTCCAAGAACTGCTCGTGCAGTGTGGTACTTATCGTAGCAGCAGCAACTGCTTACATCACAAATGTAAACAGTAGCTGTTACTCCCGTTTGTAAAGTTCTTTGAGCTCATCATCGTTGATGAAGAACTGCAGCGGCTTGTTTGTCAGTAGTACCAGGCTGACAAAGAGTGGGTAAGGTGATGCAGGTCGCAGAAGTGACCCATCAGATGACAGCATGCTTGCATTCTTGTACCTGAAAGTTGTTTTTCTTTAATTGCTGTAAAGTTAAGCTTTGAAGGTGCCGTGCTCAAGTGAGGTGAAGCTTATGGTGTTGGAAGCCTGGCAACTTGCCCGCCCATTAGGACAAGAATTTGCAATGTTCCTCATTTTATGTCTTTTGTTGCACTTGGTAAGTTTTGACGACAAAAGCATGCCAACTTGGCCATTCATTCATCTTGCTGATACTCTGCAGCTGTCTTTTTTCAACCATACCATCAGCTTGCTGTTGTACTGTTGGCGCCATTGCTGGCTTCTACCAACAGCACTGCTTGGGAAAGTATCAGTTGTTAGAACTACCCGTAGCTCAGTGTATTTTTTCACTGGTGGCTAAGGCACACCATTTAGGCAGTAGTTGGGTGATTGGGTGTGGATAAAATAATCCGTAAAGCAGAGCATTTGCCTCTGTGGTTTTGCGTCACTGCGTAACCTTACTTATGCTCTTAGTTTTCAGTAAAGCCAACTGTAAAGGCTCCTAATCATGCGAGGGCATGGCTTGTACATGTGTAACATTTAGGGGCTTTTCTCATTGCAGATGTTAAACTTGATGCTTCTACTTTTACGAAGCTCCACTTTTCCACTTTTGCTTCCACTTTTCCGTAAACCTCAATTGTGTCATGTCCCTCAAAGACAGGTGTGCACAGCGAGTTATGTACAGGAGTCTGAGAAGTACTTTTTTGGCAGCTGCGTACGAAATGGTAGAAATTTCTTGTCACCTTAAAAAAGACATCCAGCTTTATGCCATTCAAGAAAATGTTGCTGGCATTGAGGAGAAAATGCAGTCACTAGGAATTTTCTTGGCCAGCTTCTTGAAGCATATAAGGCCCCAACATTCCGTATGTGTTGTAAAAATATGATTGACTCTATGCTCATGCTCATAAAATAGGCTGGAATATACTTGGATATCCCCCTGTGGTTCTGGATACTAGCAGTGCTTTTGGTAGCCAGCAGCAGCGACATCCGTCATGATGATGCAAGTGGCCAGTATTGCATGCAGTAAAGTTCTTGCTTCAGAATACGGCAGTGATCACTTGATTCGAAACGACTGTTTCCAGTCACATATCTACAATGTAAGTTTAGCAGTGATGTTTGTATGTCTTGCTGTAATATGGACAGCCTCCGTTGAAAGAACTGTGTGTGCGTGTTTTAGCATGTTTAGTTGCCGGTGTGGGTTTTTTTTTGTAATTTCTTCTCTTGATGGTGCTGGTATTCTATAGAAGATGTGTTGGACTAATGCAGCTTGTGAAGGTTCTTATTTTCCTGCTTTTGAGTGGCTCAATGTCACACGAGTGCTCAATGAAACACAATGCTCTGTTCATACGTACTTTTTTGCAGGTATCTTAGCGCGTGTTTTTTCGTTCCTGATCTTACGTTATTTTCTGGATTAAGGGCTTGAAAGCCCTCTACCTTGGTATTGGCACTGCCATTGACGACCTGCGAACATGCTCAGCAAGGAGTAAAATGATATCTGAACTTCATTCGGTCTACACATGCTCACGTTACTTAGGTTTAACTGTTCTGTCTCAGTTTAGTTAGATCCTGTCTGGATACTCTTTAATATGTGGATTGATGAGCAAAAGTTTTCTTTTTTTCGTATTGTATGCCAGGCATTGTTGCGGGATTGGTTACGTTATGAAAAATGCGGGGATGTTTTTCTTCATGCTGCACGATTACTGGAGTTCACGTGCACATCTGTCGTCTCTCTGGAACTATATTTCTCGGAAGCAATGATGGTGTGAATGTAACATCACATCCCCAAAACTGCTGCTGTTGATAGTGGCGCTTCTACCCAATCCACCTTTATGGCAGTGCAACGATGCATGCGCCCTTCCACTGGCGTGAAAGTCACGTAACGATGTGGTAGGGTTTCCGCGCGATTCCCGATCTCGGAGGCTTCTGTTTTGACGAGTCCTGTTGTCCTGGGTCACCCCACAGAGCGCCGCTTCCGCTCTCATACCGAAATGGCAGATTATGATTGACATTACACCGAAATAACTGTTCCAGAGGAAAACAGACTCGTAGTACAGGTTCTGTTGTGTTCCTCGCGTATGGAGCGCGCAGTTTTGAAATAAGTGAACCTCTGTTTTGTGATGTGACTGTTTTGTTGTAATGCCTTTCCAATGCATGTTTGTAAAGTGGAAAAGAAAATCCCGATCAATGTTTAACTGCTTGTGTCTTGTCTTCTTGTTGGGCAAATAGGTTGTCTAGTGTCGTGACACATATGGAGCACGACGTGTGTGCACTACACTGTCTGTCTCTGGGGTCTGCCTGGGGATGTATGTGTGTGTGTGTGCGTGTTTGTGCTTGCATTGCATATTGAAGGTTTCAAATGCTTGGAGCGATATGCAATGTTAGCAGGAACGATGTTACACCTCAATATAACGAACTCTGTAAAATTGGCAATTTTTATCGCTACGTGGAAACAGCTTTAAAGGGACACTAAAGAGGAACAGCGACTTGGTTTAGATTAAAAAACTGCACTCTGAGAACTGTAATCTCATATGTTTCCTTATTGTAAGTTCATTATTGGTTCACCCTACACTAGTGGGAAGGGGAAAGGTCTTAACGAGCTGCTTCTGGGTATTCAACACTAAGGAAAGTGGTAAAGAAATGTGAATAACTCGCTGCTTTGGCTACTGTACACTAGGGAAAAAGAAGGGTAGGTGCAAATAACGAGCTGCTTCTGGGTACCCTCCAGACGAAAAGGGAAAGAAAGGTATGAATAAGGAGCTCTTACTGGGTGCCCGACACTATAGGGTGAACGGTTAACAAAGTTGTCGTAAAGGTGGGAATAACTAGGTCTTTCTGGGTACCCAACACTACGAGGAAAGGTGTGAATAACGAGCTACTGCTGTGTACTCTGCTCTAGGGAAAACGGGGAAAAAAATGGAGAATAACGAGCTGCTTGTGACTGCCGTACATTAAAGGGAAAGGTGGAGGTGCGAATAACGACCCACCTCTTGGTACCCTAGATTAGGGTGAGTGCAGAAGAAAGGTGCGATTAGCGAGTTGCTTTATGGTTAGCTTACACTAGGAGAAGGGGAAAGAAAGATTTGAACAAGGCGATGCTTTTAGGTACCAGAGGAAAGGCAAAAGTGTGAGCTACGAGAGTTGTCTGGTTACCTTGCGCTAAGGGTGATGGAAGAGAAGTTTGGGATAACAAGGTGTTGCTTCTTCTGGCTACCTTAGCAAATTTTCAAAGGCACCTCACATTTCTGAGGGTTGTCAGTAAAATTTGATTATGTCAACCAAGTGTAAGCAAATGTTTATTTCTAATCGTTTCAACTGGGGGGGCGAACTTTCATGAGAATTCATTTTTATGGTCCAGCTTTCAAATTTGGATCACAACATTGAGATATTTCTTTTGTAAGTTTCCCTTGTTCTGCAGTGTTTTTTTTTGTAAGTTTTCTTATTTCCTAATTTGTAACTCACAAAGGCGTGTGCACGAGGGAGGGGGAGAAGAGGGGCGCAGTCTGTTCCATCATCATCAGCAGTGTGACCATGTCCACTGCTGGACAAAAGCTTCTCCCATGCTCCGCCAGTCAACTCGGTCCTGTGCTTGCTGCTGCCACTTCATGCCTACAACCTTCCTAACCTCGTCCGCTCACCGACTCCCCCTCTCCCGCTTGCCTTAGCTTGGAATCCAGTCGGCGATCCTTATGATGACCAGCTGTTATCTTGCCTTCGCGCTACGTGCCATGCCCATGACCATTTCTTTTTGATTTCGACTATGCTGTCCGTAACACCCGATTGTTCCCTGACCCACTCTGATCTCTTCTTGTTTCTTAGGGTTACACCTATCATTTTCTTTTCTATTGCCCACTGCGTCGTCCTCAACTTAAGTTGAACCGTCTTTGTAATCCTCCAGGCTTCTACTTCGTAGGTAAGTACCGGTAATATGCAGCTGTTATATACTTTCCTCTTGAGGGATAGTGCCCCGCCGCGGTGGTCTAGTGGCTAAGGTACTCGGTGGTGGTGGTAAACATTAATTAAGAAAAGCACAGCGAGTTGCGGCTGTTGACCCGCAGGTCGCGGGATCGAACCCTGACTGCGGCGGCTGCATTTCCGATACTAGGCCCGTGTGTTCAGATTTGGGTGCACGTTAAAGAACCCCAGGAGGTCGAACTTTCCGGAGCCCTCCACTACCGCGTCTCTCATAATCATATGGTGGTTTTGGGACGTTAAACCCCACATATAAATCTTGAGGGATAGGGGCAATCTACCAGTAATAATTCGAGAATTCTTGCCGAATATGCTCCACCCCAGTCTTCTAGTTACTTCAATCTCGTGGTTCTTCTCTGCTGTTACTACCTGTCCTAAAAAGTAGACGTACACTTTTACAACTTCAAGTGTACTGCCACCTATCATGAAGTGCTGTTCTCTTCCGAAGTGGTTGTACATTAGTTTTCTGCAGATTAATTTGAAGACTCACCTTTTGGCTTTTCTTGTCTAATTCAGTAATCATGGATTGCAATTCGTCCCTTGGGTTACTCAGCAATGCAATTAGGTTACTAATTACTACTCAGCAATGCGAAGCTAGGTTACTAAGGTACTCCAACTGGTATCCCGAACTCTTCCCATTCTTGGCCCCTGAAAACCTTCTGTAAGCACGCGGTGAATAGCACTGGGCAGGTCGTATCCCCTTGTCTTACACGTTCTTTATTGGTACTTGTCACTTTCTTTATGTAAGGCATAGGGGCGGGGGGGTGTATAATTTTCTTTTATTGAGCGAAGCGTTGCAGGTTGTGAAAGGTATGTACAATGGTCGCATGCACAGACATACGTTGACAAGTTGTATATGTTTTCTATAATTAATATTTGCAGCAGTTGTGTAACGACTCCAATAGCAACACTGCTATTACCAACGTCAGAAGCGGTAAGCTGTTCTGTATCGTTTATGCTTGTGAGGATATTAGCCTTGTATATTGCTACGTAGACCAGCTTCAGTGGATGGTGCGTAAAGGGGCCCTGAAACACTTTTTCAAGTAACCATAGAATGAATTATCTGGAAGAGCCTATTGCCTCAAGAATTCAAGGCCGCAACAATTTTAAGAATCCGCTCAGTGCGAGGGGATTACAAGGATGTGTCGCATGCTGCAATTACGTTTTCGTTTTTCTCGTCCCGACGAAAGCGCTGGAAGCTAAGCAAGAAGGGATGGCAGGGGCAAAGAAAATACGTTATGAGCGCCTCGTGACCTTGATCACTTTTTTTTCTTCGAATGCGCGGTTTTTTTCAGTGTGATCGCGCGCGCACGCGTGGACAAATCGCGGCCCCCTGCGGCGATCTCTGTAACGACCGAGCGCGCAATGTTCAAATCAGCCAATGGCTGATAGATTGGCTTTCTACGAGTGGTATTTGAGCGTCTTCCGTCATTTGTCGAGAGAAGAGAAAGCAATTTGATTTTGATAACCTGGTGGGAATTCCAGGCCGCGTGCAGTGCTCCAATATTTTTTTATTTGTTTATTTATTTGGGCTTTACAAAAATGCCCACGAAGGGGGAAAAAGGAGACAGCGTCTCCTGACTAGGCCTTCTCTTCGTGAGGCACCTCGGGCAAGTACAGCAAAACAGTACATAGAAAATTCAAGATTACACTTACAAATGATAAAGAAACGATCATTACAACAAGCGCAGAAAATATCGGTTAAAGATTCAAAGAAAGCTGTTCCTTAGCGATAAATACAAAGACGTTATCAGCACTATTAACACATATTGAAATACATACAGTTTGTGTGTATTGGAAAACAATAATAAAAATAAAGATTACAACAGATATGTTTCATACATTATACCATTCTTCAGCAATTGCACCCTTTATGTGAATTTGGGTTATTACATTCGTAATTTGCTTGATCGGCAGCGTTTTCTGACCATATTCAAAAAGTGTTGTAGGGCCTCTTTAAACGCACAACTTACGTTAACCCGACATGACGCCTGTATAATGGGAGTACATTATTAATGTTTATAAAATTAAATAGTCAGTACGGCAACTACTTTTGGCGTTTCATCAACGTTGAGCCCGCATTGTGTCTTTTTGCCTACTAGTTTCGAAATCTAACGTGGCTATGTGATAGAACACTCAATTGCTGCGCGGAATTCTTTGGCCTCATTCCTGCTGGAACTCTGATATGTATTCATTGCATTCGGCAGGTCAACGCTGTGTCAGGTTTTATGGGTGTCCTCGCCTAAATTACGAATGTCTGTTTCGCCGTTCCGGGGTAGATAAAAACTGTCAGTCACTTGTGGCGCATACCCGCATACTGCGGCCAGTGGTGTACGCGGGTATGTGCCTCGCGTGGCCGGAGGATAGGGTTCGATGACGTACGCGACGGGGTTTTCACGTTATTCATGTCACGATCAGCCAAACATATTAGTGAAACTGTTTGCTCTCTCATACTAAATTTGGTCTACCCCAAGTGAAGGGGATAGACCAAGCGATCACGAGAGCACCAAAACGTAGGCGGCTAGATAGACAGGTAGCTGTACTTGGATACTCGATGAGCCTGCAGTTCGAAAAGAAATGCTCAGCATTTAATATATAGGGGGCCGCTTTTCCTAAGCGTATTGTGCGAAGCGTCGTTATAATCATCATCTTCGAAATGCACACGAGCATACGCCACGCTAGCCACGCGAACCTGTGAGGAGGATCCACGCTTTGCGCGTGTTTCTGGATTCTTTGGCAGTCAACGTCAGCGTCGCATCACCATTGCAGCCTCCTTTATTCGGATGATGGAAAGACGCAAGCCTAGCGTAGCTCGTAGTGGTCGACCAGCCGCCTTCCCGCGTCGCGACCAGAGTCGAGGGGCTGGTCCTCCGCCGCCAGTCGCGAGCAGTCGCAAGAGATCGCCAATGTCCTCACCGAGACAAGCCAAGGCCCTTCCGATGCTCTTTAGGAGAACCATGACGCGTCGTCTCGTTGAAGAGGGCTCCGACGGGGCGTTGCCGACGACTCCACCGCCCATAGACACGACGGAGCGAGTCACTTTCGTCTCGGCACCGAAGCTGCCCTTGCGAGTCGCAACTCTGACCACCGACCGCAGACAGCCGCTACCGACGCCGAGGGAACGCCACGAGCGCCTCGAGCAGCCTTCGGGAGCCACCGGCTTGCCGCCGAAAAAGCGCTCATTCTCACAGCAGCGTCTCGAGGGTTGGTTTCGTAGGGACAT